GTGTCGTCCATGTAGCTGCCGCCGTCCTCCGGGGGCGGGTCGTTCTCGAGCGGCTTGAAGGTCTTTGCCTCCCCGAGGCACTCATCTAGGTCTCTGGCGACCACCGAGCCAAAGGCAACGGGGCTGTCGGGGCTCCCCTGGCGTACTCCATTGGTTTGCCGCAGGACGAGGTTTTCCCCGCAGAAGGTCACCGTAAGGGTGTCAGAGCGCAGGAGAGAGACCCACGCTCGAGCCTCCCATGGCATCCCCCCTTGTACATCGACGTGCTCTTGGACCCTTAAGGCCATTGATTCCTGGAAGACGGAGTCGAAGGCTTTCCGAATATCGAGTTTTGCCACATACATTTCGATGCCGAAGTCGAAGGCAACCCGGCAAACCCGGCGTAGTATCATCAGGAGTTCCACACCTTGCCTACTTTTGCGGGACCACTGCAGTCTGGAAGGTGACATAACGCAATCCCCTGCCCTGAGGAGCAGGAGTTGAGAGAAAGCTTTCAACAATGATGATGAGATAGTGATGGGGCGGGTTTCCCCCCAATCGGAGGGGCGGCTGTTTTTGGCCAGCAGAATGCTGACTCCTCTTTCAATGCTTTGCGGTATCTTGGCCGTGTAAAGCATATCACTGAAGAGTTCCCGCATGACTTCCCCCCAGTATGGATGAGGGAGGAGGGCCTTCATCGCCTCGTGGGAGACCAGATCCGGGCCACAGGATCGCCCGTTCTTCCATCTCTTCCTGACCTTGAGCATCTCCTCCATGGTGAAAGGTCGCCAGGGATGTGCTTTGCAGCGTAGAGCTAGTTCTTTGTCAATCTTCGCGAAAGCCGCATCCACCAGCGCTGCTCGTTGTTTCTGAAAGATACCCGCGAAGTGCGTTGACAGGCTCTCCTTCCATGAGGGGTCATCAGTCAGCGGAAGGGCCCAGTCATGGTTCCGCGTCGACTGAAGGAGTGCTTTCTTGGCTGTCCAGTCCCCGATGGCGGTTCTGTCCAGGAGTTTTTGCCGCCACTTGCGGTGTTCGCGGGTGTGCGACCTGCAAACCTCCTTCCACATCTGCCGCCGTTCTCTTCCTGGAGGTTGCCGAATAGCTCTGCAGCGTAGTTGTTTAAGGTTGATGCTTTCTTCGAAGTGCGGGAGGACCTTCCCCGGGACGGTGATGGCGATGGCTGTCTTTGTGAGCATGGCCAGCGAGTCCCCGCGGAGGATGGGCTGGTCGAGGATTGCCTTGACTTCGGTTGGTCCTCGAAGTCGGCGGCTCCCCCATTCGGGGGCATGTTCTGATGGCCTGTGTGTAGTGCTCGTGATCTCGATCTGAACCCAAATCGGTTCATGGTCTGAGCTGGCAACGTCCCTGTGTGCCAGAACATCTCCCTGAATGGAGGGCAGGTGCTTCAGCATGATGTAGTCGATGCGGCGCGGTTGGAATCGTGTGTTGTAGGGAAAGTGGCTGCTCTTATGGATCATCTGCTCGGGATCACCATGCGCTGCTTTTCCTGCCATCGGAGAATGTTTTCCCCGCGGCCTGTCATCGAGGTGATGGTTCCGTCCGTGGCTTGATGGAAGGTCTCGTTGGCATCGACCCCCAGGACAGCTTTGTGCACGTGGCGCAGTTGCTGACTTAGAGAGTCAAGGATTTCATCGGTGGCCTCAATAGTGGCATGGTGAGGTACGTGGGCTGAGGTAGCAAGGAACTTCAAGTCTTCGTACCGCAGTGCACATGAGCAAGCACCTCGCAACATCTTGCAAGACGTACGCAGGACATCTCCGGTGTGGGCAATGCCTGTCCCCCGCCAGTCTGCTTCGAGCTTTCCAGCGAAAAGTTGGATCCCCTTTTCTTCAGCAAAATGTTTTCCTGTGTCCGTGATGATCTCTTGGAGAAGGATCACGAAGGCACCGTCAAAGGGATGAATTCGGGCGAGTCGGAGCGAAGACAGCATTCGCAGTGTGGCAGCCAGATTTAGGCCCCCCACATTCCAACTCATGAAGTGCAGTGCAACGGGTTCCCCTCGTTGCTGGTGAAACAGTTCTCGGTCCATGTTG